ATCGCAATGTTCATGTAATTAGCTTAAACTTTTTAATATGCTTTTGCTTATATTGCGGTAATGAACTATATAAGCCTATGGGTGTAGATAAACCATTTTGTTGGTGCAATACCGGGTGGGAGATCAAACGTGCCACTGCTGGGTTGTTAAAAAAAGCATGCCCCAGTTGGCTAACCAGATTTATAGAAGTCCTATGAATGACCCTAAATAATCTTTGCATAACCATTAAATGTGCTGTGATCAAATATTCCATAACTGAGCAATTAGTGACTTTTGGCAATGATATATTTAATCAAAGTTAGTGATTCATGTGGCTTTTCTCTCTAGTAATTTACTCCTTTCTTTTGTGCATTTACACTTTTTGCCTCCTTTTTCATTTTCACTCTTGTTGAGCTGGCATAATCCTTGTTTCCAGTCCGGTACATAAATATAAAGTTGGTTAAATAGACAGATAGATATTCTCAAAAGGACTGTGATTCTCTTGCGTTCATTCTGTCCCCCACCGTCTGGTAAAATATATGCAAATGGCTCCAAATGTGAAGTCAAACAAATATGAACAAATCAAAATGGATGGTAGTCAATTATCTAAACTGTGAGCTCCATGAAATGCTGCGTATAATGTAGAATGGAACTCAAAGTTACTTTCTCTCCCTCAGTAAGTTACCATTTTAATACTGTAATTACTTGACGGAGAATGAGACGGACAGAACAATTGAAAATCCATACATGAAAGAACTGTCTACGCTGCACTTTAGGTTTCTCCTGAAATGCAATAAAATAAACCTATTCTCGTGCTTCCCAAATACACGGTTACCTGCATTAACTCAGGAATGTGTTATGGTAGATTTTAATGGACGGATAGTGAGTTACAATCGAGAAGAACACTTATCTCACCTCAATACTTACAACCTATGAGTTGTAGGTGTGAATGTACTCGTTCTATGAACTGCAGTAACACAAATAGTTTAACATCACCATTTCAAAGCGAAGTTTGGTGATACAAGCGATCAATTAGGTCTTCATGTTACTATTAATCTGTGGATGTGAAAGTCAGTTGCAGTAAGATGAAATTTGATTAATCGCGGAAAGGGGAGAACACTTTTCACGTAATAATAAATGGAGTCAATTTTATCAATGGATAGTATAAGATGGTCAGGAGGTCATAGAAGCCTTTGGACTGAATTTTTCGAGGTTCTTTTGGCGTTGGGCTTGGTTTAATTAATCAGTACTATTGCATTTTTTGCGTGCCAGTTGTGGTAGCTGTCGTTCAGTTGCCCATTTACCCGGAAAATGACAAAGACCTAAATACAATATTGGAAACGTTTAGTACAAAAAGAACATGAGGATTCAGAAATTAGTTGAAATAGATGGGCGCGGAAATTAAGTAGGTATACAAACATTACTGATAACAACATTCAGAGAGATTCTCCAGTGTGCCAGACGTTGGTAATGTTTATCAATAGGTAGCTACCTAGCCTACCTACCAACCTAATGCTTATGTAATCAAGTTGAATGGTCAAAGTTTCTGGTTTCTTTTGCCTCGTCATGGAGAGCACAATGCTGCCTGTCTTGGTGAACATTGCTGTCTAAAGAACCCTATGCGATGAATTGCGGAATATGTACACAAGGTATTGGAGTCTATGTATAAACGAATGATCACTGCCACCTAAGTTATCTTAACCTAAGCTTCGCAGTATTTGTTCGCTTATTAAAAATGTTGGAACGTAACGTATATAACAGTGTTTGAACAACGTAACGAACAATTCTCATAACTAAATGGAATCATCCGTTACAGCAAGATAAACTCGCTCTTTCCCCCACGGATAAAATGCACCAAAAAATCTCAGATTGGCAATTGTTACCGGGGCTTTCTATGTGTATACTGACGCTTCATCCAAGAATAATCCAAGAGAAAAGATGCAAAAATTAAATTAGCAAAACCTGCTTACTGCCTCTTTTGCCTCGGTAATGGAATGAGCTTAAGAGCTGGACCAACCAAATCCCATCGCAGAATTTGTTTTTATATCGAATGGTCAAGTTCCGTTTGTATTTCTCTTAAATTAAAAATGTTGTCATGCACAGATTTATCTGAAACCGAGTCTAAGTCGTAGTCATCGGCGGACCTATTCTTATCTTTCTCGTCCTCTGTGGACTTCCATGTGCCTTCCTTTGAACTTGAAACAATTCACAAGGAGGTCAATAAATGGATGTTATATGGATGTAGTATGCAAAATAACACAAAGAGCGTGGTTAGAGTAGAAGTGTCTCATCTTCGGATCTCGGGGTCCAGAGGACCCTGAAACCAGTTTGTTGGTAATATTGAAGGACACAGTAACAAATCGGTAACAGCGGTCCTCGTGTTGTTATTTCTTATCCCGTCAGAATGTCTGAAGATGTCTGCATGTAAACAGATTGTGTACTACGGTTGCTAATCGTGCTTACCGGTTTTTCTCCCTTAAGTCAAACCCCGTGTTTCACTTACATTTTCCTATTTACTTTGCATGTAAGGTGAGCTCAGCAGCGATCAGGGAAATTCCCTTCGGCGTTTACCTCCGTAGAAGAGTGATAACACTGATAATGGCGATAGCCTGCTGTTATTATTAAACTGTGTAAGATCGTGAAAGAAAATAAGAAATTGATTAGGTTGGTTCTGGATGAGGGATTAAAGGGGATGAGTTCAACTGAAATGCATAGGCTCATTTGTAATTGCAATGTATTTCAAAGGAATGTGACCTTTCTTCAAAGTGTTTGCCAGTGAGAAGCTAGTTCTAATGCATGTTTATGAGGGGAGTATAGTTGGATTCGAACTTGTGACTATATCATCAAGTAGTTTGACATATGCTAAAATTTCACCAAGGAGATCGCTATAAATACGTACGATCAAGTGTAGGAGACCATTTTGTTATGATTTGATAAACTTGTTATTACCCTATTTTCGTTTCTCTCTCCAATGTAAACTAAATGATTTCTATTTACAAACAAGGGAATCTTTTTGATTTTTGGCATCCGTTTGTTTCAAATCCCTATCAACCACAAAACCAATAATTTATTGTCAGTATGCAATTGCTCACTTCTGTGTAATTTTGCTTGTGCTCCATTCTAGATCTTTTGGTAAACCAATCAATTTATTAAATTTCTATTGGTAGGACTTTTATTTGCATTTTATTTATTGCATAACAGATTACCTGAAAAAACCCCTGGATGATTACATGCAGGCGTTAGGTAAAGTGCGAGTAATCCATCTCCCGCAACGCGAGGGTCTGATTCGGGCACGAATGATTGGAATGAATGTAACCACTACGGATGTGATCACATTCTTGGATTCGCACATAGAGTGCACAGCGGGTAAGTGGGATTCGATCACTCGACTGAGTTAATTCCTTTTAACTTGCCGCGTGTCGTTTTTCTGTCAAACGTAAGCCATACAGATAATTACGCATAAGTAAATTTATTGTTTTTACTGTGTTCCGCATTTGAAAAAAGTGTTCATTGCCACATGGAAAACAAAGCCTTTCAGATGGAATAGGTCACTTAGCGAGAATATATCAACCAGAAAAATTACCAAGAAATTATTCTTGATGTTAGATCTCTTTCGGGCCGTATATAACTTGGGACAGAGATTATGCTACTTGTGTTGACTCAGAGTTACCATCTTGGCTATATACTTGGTAGAGTGGGAGCTAGGATTGTTCAGTCGTATCAATGAGATAGGCCAAACTCAGTCGAACTGCTTCTTAACTAAAAGGACGTTTCCAATGTTTGGCCTCAGTTGGGCGCAGATTGATGGAGCACAGTTTTGTAGGCAATGGTAAGGGCTGCCGGAATAGTAGCGATAAATAAGACATATTGTAGACAATATCGACGTTCAGCGTACTTTCCTATGTGTGACATCCTCTTCTTATCTGAATTAGAACATACAGAGCTTGGTGATTACCATACTTTATACAAGGTTTATTCGTGGTAAATATAACAATATTATTCTATACAAAATGATGCTTTTTAATCGCCTAGATTGCTACGCACCGAACCACCAATGAATTTCGCATAATTTTACGGGCTGACATTGCCATCAAGTAGCCTGTTTCACCTATCGGAGTTTGCTTACATATCAGTCTTGTTAGTCCGTTGGTAAAATGTGGATACCATACCATTCATCGATGGACTATCCGTAAACGGTTCGATCAGCTGTTCATTGTACTTCCAAGGCCTTTTTACTGATATATGACTTTGTTAACCCTGTGCGATGAAATCATTAGTAACCAAATAGATTAAATCAAATCTCTTTCTAAGAATAACTGTTGTGATTAACTGGTAAAATTTAAGGGGACCATCGGTCCTAGGTGTTACCCCGGTATTCCCAAATCACTGATTCACGTGAATTTTTATCCAACTTAGGCTGGCTCGAACCCCTGCTGGCTCGGATACATGGAAACCATTCCACTATTGTTTCCCCGGTGATTGATCGCATTGTGGATGAGACGTTTGAGTATACACCACTGCGTGCCACAGAAGTGCAAGTTGGAGGATTTGACTGGGATATGACCTTCGATTGGCATATCCCACCACAACGTGATCTCCAGCGCCCGGGAGCTCCCTACACACCGATTCGGCAAGATTTAGATTTACCAAA